GCTATTGGATGTGTATGACAGTATATAATAAGATACCACAAGAAATTCAAGACCTACCTGTCATTAAATTTAAAAGAGAGTTATACAGATGGCTTAGTGAAAAGGCTTTTTATACTGTAGAGGAATATTTGAACTGCGATATGTAGTAGCGGCTGGATTGATGTGGATTTGCTGCACCAATTGTAAAATATTTATTAAGTACCTATCACCTATTTATTGATTAATTGTTGACATTTTATTATTTTCGACATTTTACTCATAAATATTACTATCGCATTATTTTATATTTGTAAGATTTGCATGCCATAAATAATGGCTGATTAAGCGGATGTTTAATTAATACCACCATCTTCAGTGTACCTTAACCAAAAGCAAATAAATATATATTTCATTTCATTTCATATAGGCAGCTGATGGCCTACAGTAATAAAAATTAAAATCGTGGACTATAGTCTCTACACTCCATATTTAAAATATTTTTAAATTATCGTTGAGACAGTGAAGGCTGGGTAATCTTTCAATTGTGTACTTAAATTAACAAAATAGTTAGCAATTTCAACTTTTCGGCTCTTGCTTTAGAAATATTTCATGAAGTTCTTACGCTTAGTTCATCACTATGTCTAGCTTTCTATCTTGAACAAATGTTTTCAATTTTTTTTAAATATTCTTGAACCAATAGCTTGAGTTTAACTAGCGGAGAGCCAATAACACTAGAAGTTTGCTTACGTGCATTTAATAGGAGTTGGCGAATTAGACAGGACTCCTTAATTATGAGCTAGTTACACTACGGTATCGCGGACTCATAATTAAGGACTTTGATCGAGTTCAAAACTTCCAATCATGATAAAATACTTTTATAAGTACTTCTAAATTAGGATATTATTCTCGAAAGTTATTAATTTATTGAAAAATTTATGTCAGTACATCTTATTTTTTTATAGGATAGGGTGACAAACGAGCACACAGTCCACCTGATGGTAAGTAGTTGCTGTGGCCCATAGACATCTACATCTATCTTCGATTACGAATCAAAATGCAGATGCGTTGTAACACACAGCAGCATTAACCTACTATTTGACGCCGGTATTCTGTGAAATATGATACATGTTACCTAGGCTGCACTAAAAGTATCGGGAATGGAATATTTCCACTGTTCCTGTCATATTAAAATCTTTTTAATTGAAAACTCCTTGGTTTTAAAAATCGAATACCATTTATTTATTTAAAAAAGATTCTCGGTCTTGTCACAAGGTTTTGTCAAACTTGTTTAGTCGTTGAGAAAATGGAATTGACTCGAGAAAATTCAAGAGCGATGATTTATTATGACTTTCGAAGTGGTTTAACACAAAAACAGTGTGTTGACCGGATGATTTCTGCATTTGGTGATGAAGCCCCATCCAAAACTACAATTTATCGCTGGTTTACTGAATTTCAACGTGGACGTTCATGCTCAGTGATGATCCCCGTCAAGGTCGTTCAAAAACTGCAATCACCCAAGAAAACGTTGATGCTGTGCGTAAGCTGATTGAGGAAGATCGACATGTCACATACCGCGAAATTCAGGCAACTTTAGACATTGGCATGAGTCAAATAAAAATAATCTTACATGAACAATTAGGTGTAAAAAAGTTGTTTTCCCGATGGATATCGCATTCGCTCTGTGAAGAGCAAAAAGCGGCTCGCGTTACTTGGTGCGTCAGAACTCTCGAAAGATTCCACGCAGAATCCTTAAACGAACATCCAACATCGTATCAGGTGACGAATCCTGGATATACGCGTACGAACCCGAAACAAAAAACCAGTCACAAGTTTGGGTGTTCGAAAATGAGTTAAAGCCAACAAAAATTGTTCGTTCACGGAGTGTTGCAAATAAATGGTGGCCACGTTTGTCTCCAAAACCGGTCATGTTACGACTATTCCTCTTGAGGGACAAAGAACGGTTAATGCAGAATGGTATGCTAGTATTTGTTTGCCACAGGTCGTTTCTGAACTCCGTAAAGAGAACTACAACCGCCGCATCATCCTCCATCACGACAATGCGAGTTCTCACACCGCACACAGAACAAAAGAGTTTTTAGAGCAAGAAAACATATAATTATGAGACCATCCGCCGTACAGCCCCGACCTAAGCCCTAATGATTTCTATACTTTCCCTAAAATAAAGAATAAATTGCGTGGACAGAGATTTTCATCACCTGAAGAAGCTGTGGACGCCTACAAAACGGTCATTTTGGAGACCCCAACTTCCGAATGTAATGGTTGCTTCAATGATTGGTTCCATCGTATGGAAAAATGTGTCAAATTTCGCGGAGAATACTTCGAAAAGCAATAAATACATTTTTAAATAGTAATGTTGTGTCACTTCCTTGATTCCCGATATTTTCAGTGCCGCCCTCGTACATGATATGAAATTATTAAAAAAAATAAAAATGACTTCAATTCTTGATAAGTTAAAAAATACGTAAAAAGAAAAAATAATTTATAAACGAAAAAATAAAACAACTGACAACCCTCTGCATTTTTTGATGCCAGGCAATGTTGCCCTACATTTTTGGGTCTGAACATTATTAGGTAGCTTTGCTCATCATCAGAAGTTTTGACTTATAAGCCCTTTAGTACTGAAACTAGGTTTTGGTCAGGGGTTCGTCAACGGACACTAGCCAGGCCATCTGCGTAGTGCAGGATTATAATGCACGAGTGCATGTTCAAGCATGCCTGTTCTCACTATTCTCTCACTTCATAGTCTGACAATATCAAAGGGCGATCAGACAGCGCCGACAGATTTACACGTTTTCCGAAACAAGGGGGTGAAACACCGTTAAGTTCCTGGTTCTAGGCTGCTATCGAAAATTTATAGCATCCACTTAGGTGCGCTGTGTGTTAATTTGTCCCCCATTGCTATAAAAAAAATCATGGATCAATCTCCATTGTACACGCGACGTACAACGCAAAAACTTAAAACTGCTGTCGTGTACGGCTAATCGATCGAGCGGATCAGAAATAATTAAAAGTAGCCGACAAGAAATAAAAATTTTGTACCTACGTGGCACGAATGGGCTGGCAGCCGGGGCAGGACCACGCTCTCGCAGAATACCAGCGTATGATTGCAGCGTAATGCTGCTGCGTTTCGTATGGTGAGTGTAAAGAACCTCCCCTGAGAAGGGTCTTCCCTTTTTACTGGACTCGAATTATTCCATCTTAGTCCTCAGGGGTGACAATGCATTTGCATTTTGATTCTTAATTGAGGATAAATATGGATGTTTATGAGCCACAGCATCCACTTACCGTCAGGTGGACTGTGTGCTCGTTTGTCACCCAATGCTATATAAAAAAGAGCTGGGTCGATCGTTCGAGCTGCTTTTGGTTGCATCCGGTTAACTTCTATTATTTTATATCATGTGTGAGTCGTGGTGACGTTTGATCGCTTATTATCATAATCATAAATGAATCAAGTACAACGATTCCCTAAAAATAAAACACGTGCGAGGCAACAGGGATATCGGAATTGTTATTTTTAAATTCATGGAAATTAATAAAACATACATGCAGCTATACTTTGTCCCCCTGACGCCCCTTGGGATTAAGATTCTGCTTGCTTCCTTAACAAGTGTCTCCGGTTCTCGTCACACTACGTACGAAACATAAATACGTATAGACACCTGCACCACGCCAACCAGTTGCCATCTTTTCATATTTCTACTTACAACGGTAAATTTCTTCAAATTGTATTGATTATCTATATATAAACATCAAATAGGAATTTTTTTTTGACCTCAATCCGTTTCTTAACAATCTGAATTTTTGAACATTCGTAAGTGTTTAACGTAAGTTGTAAAGAAAAATTGGCACATCTCTAACAGCTACAAGCTAATTATTAAAGCGATTCTTTCAAAATAAAACAACGGTTATGTACGCATTGCGTACAGTTAGCGCTGCGCGCGACGGCGCCGTTTTAATTTTTAAATTTAAAATTACATATTTTAGAGAACCGGAGAACCTTTTATTGGAAACGAGGCGTTCCATATCAGTCCTTGGGGGGGACAATGCAACTGCAATTTAATTCTTAATTGAGGATAAATGTAAATGTATGATACGGCCGCAGCATTCACTTACGATCAGGGGGACTACGTGCTCGTGTGTCACCGGTATTCTATAAAAGGAAGAGTTACTGACAAGTGAAGTGCACTTGATGGTAAGTAGCTACCGCAGCCCACGGGCATCTGGAACCCAACCACCAACTTCAAACGAAAAAGGGTACAAATGCATTGTGGCTCCTGGAGTGTAATGCCTCTCCTTTACCTTTCCAACTGTAACACTGCAGAAGTGTAATGCTGTAGACTGGAGGCCGACACCGACCCATATAGACACCTAGACAGATAAATAGCTCTACCATATAAACACCACATAGAAAGTTGTTTGAAAATTTTGATGGATGAAGCCTTGTTGATCCGTAAAATGAAAAAGTGTGTTGGCAGTTCGGAAAGGCAACCATAGCAGCTTTAAGGACGCTGCAGTGTAAGAGTATGTCTTTATTAAAGTGTGACCTGAAAAATAGTGACACAAGAAACATATTGTTACTTATTTGTGTACAATGCCTGATACTAACTGATCACTGTATTGTAATTAAGTTTCGTCATAGTTTTTAAATCCGATTACTCCGTTTTAAGACGCCGTTACGTACAAGTTTATATATATACATAATAGTAATTCAGTTCTCTGCTTATGCCCAAATACTGTTTGTGAGTATGACAAGTATATTATGTATAATCAAAGGTGAATATTTGGACAGTCTCACAGATGTCATGACCCTGACCTATGACCGCAGTTTAAAGAGAGTGTGATAGTCCGGGCATAATGTGTGTACTCGTAAATCATTATATAGTTTTTTGTGCAGTCACTAATAATTAAACGACCATAAAAATGTAAATTATAATGTATGTAAACTATTAACTCACAACGTAAAATTTATAATTACATATGAACTGTGAACAAGAAAGTAGATGAATAGAAGTTTAGTAAGTAAGTATAGTAAGTAAGTATAGTAAGTAAGTATAGTTTAGTAAGTATACCTGGATGTCGCCTTAGTTATTTGAGATGTAAGCAAGTAATAGCAGCATCGCGGCGACGTGGTGTGTTGTGATGCGTTGTGGTGGCGTTGTGGTGGCGTTGTGGTGTAGGCATGTGTCAATCGTGAATGATTCGGTTATTTGACCGAAGTAAAGCTTAGAACACTATCAATGCATAAATAAATAGTAAAATGGAATATGTAGGTACTTGTGTAATATCGAAACCGAATCAAGTGCGCTCGCAACTCCACCGACCGAAGAGTATAGTAATGATTAATGATCGACCGACTCGCAGATCATAGCACTGAAACACGAAATGTTCCATTTGAAATATCGAGCCCAATGATCCGGTTCGTAAGACACTTGAATGATCGGGTCACTAGAAATGAATGAATGACACATGCCTAGTGCTGACGTTGTGGTGGTGTAGCGTTGCGGCGCGGACCGCGGACCGGCAGCCGGCAGTGGGGCTGTGGGGCAGTGGTTCCCGCTCAGCGCTGCGTGCCGCACGCCCGCGTCCGCGCTCCTCGCGCGATCCAAATGCTCTCCGAGCTCTCCCACGAGAGTCGACCAAGAACACGCTTCTGAAATCCCCGTTGGGAGTCGAACGCGGTTCTTAGCTCGAAGTCTCGCCCGTCCGCGCAAATACTAGCTAGTTCCACCGCTGATTGTGAGCCACCTTCCACCGCAAGTACCGAAGAATAGAGGACCGCTTCGACTAAACAGTCAGTATCGATTTCCCACCTGCTCCAATTTCTTACCAAGTGCTTGAAGTACTTCGTATATGATACACGTGGTACCCTAGCTTTTAATAATTTACAAAATAACGTAAAAACCGCGTAATACCTGTGTACTGTACAGTTGTTCAAACAACATATTACAGACAAGGTTATTTTAAATAATTTATACATTACTGAATCTAAATATGTATTATTAAGTTCGTTTAATGTTGATAATAATGTAGAATATTTTTATCACGTTACATTATTAAATTTCTTAAACTTAAAATTGAATCACATGAAATAATATAAGACCACGAATATTTGTGCATAATCAACACGACCTTATGATGGTATCTTCGATCTTGACACTAAATCTCTGGTTTATTAAATAAATTGTTCTCACGAGTCGAGTTTCTGTCAAAGAACAGCTGAATACAAGTTTATCATTAAGCGTGTTGTGTTCGAGTTTTTTTTATAAAACTGAAGCAATAAACCCACTTATAGTGCACCTGATAAACTTACGTATGAATTTTCCAATGTTTTAACTAGCAACTGTTTTAACATTAAATATATATGAAAATAAAAAGCAATAATAAATTTTTCCTAAAGTTGATAAAAATTCCGTGCCCTCAATTGCGTGCACTATCCCCGTCACCACTAATCCCAGCACCACTACTTCTAACACCACTACACTATGGGAAAGACACACCGCCGTCGATAATACAAAGTAATGCCTGATTCTATCACCAACTTTTTCCCTTTGTTATATATAGCCTTCAACGCTTAAAAATAAAAACAATACAATAAAGTTTAGCCTCTTATATTATAATATTTAGTTTAAGCTATTTGCCTATCTGCCTACTGCTGGTCAATGTCCTTGTATTTCTGAGGGCTGTAGGGCAACAAAATGTCCGCCGCGACGCCCCCCCCCCCCCGCGCGTGTTGGCGGGTGATTTCTTATATATAACACTTACACATTAAATCAAATAAATTTTACGGATTTCATTGCGTTTAATTAAATTTTTCGTTTTAATACGTTTCGGGTGCTTTACAGCATTCATAGGATTACTATATTTTTTATATAATTTCTTAGACATGCAAGTTTACGCGAAAGCTACACATTTAAATAATGGAACTAAAAGTTAATAAGGTTAATATGAAGGTTAACGGCCGTGGTTAATTATGACATTGGGACGTCGAACATCTTAGCCCCCCGTGACCATAAAATCCGTAGAAACTAGTTTAATTTATCAAGTTTCCCCACGAGTTTTTCCTTCGCCGTAGAGCAGCTGGTGAGCCTGTACTTATTTCAATTAATAATTTCATGTACAATTTTAAATGATCGATAATAAGCATTGTAATTTGGTGATTACTACCATGCTGTTCCTAAATGTTTTCATATTCAAATGTAGGCATAACAAATTATTATAACGGTATAATGTTTAAAAAGCGTCCCACTGGGTTTCTTGCTGTTTCTTTTCAGGACAGAGGTTTTTCCCGGACAAGTGCTAAAAGCTCATATATTTATTTATAAGTATTCTGTGTTAAAAAAAATGATTCTATTCAATGGTGCCGGTGGGGATCGAACGCATCTTGGTGTAAGAACCTTGATATTTACGCCAAGAGCTCAGCCTCTGAGCTAGCGCGGCCCTTTTAGAGCTTAGCAAAAAATAAATTTTAGTTTAGGTATTAATTTCAACATCCATAGCTATGAATAAAATCGAAGCGTCTGTCTGAAATATCGAAATAACTACCTTTTATTGAGCTTTTTGCTATAATAATAACTACCTTTTATTTAGGGGCGGAGGGGTTGAGGGGCGGAGGGGAGGAACCAAGTGTAACGAAACTTCACGATCAGATAGATAACAACGCCAGTGAACTAGGCTGTATCTTAAAACTTTGATAATTTTTTAGTTTTGAGAGAACAAAAATTGTTAAAATAAATGGTCTTTGATTTTTAGCTTCACTTTAAATAATTCCACATTAATAGATCTTACCCAGATGCAGCCGGAGGGGGTCGCTGGTCTTTAAATGAAATATGGTATGAGCAATGGCTTAAACGTATTGTGTGCGTGTCAAATGATTAACAGTTTCCATTCCTATTATAGTCACTGAAGCGTTATTTAGGTTTTAGGGAGTGGTAAACTTTGGGTTCTAAATAAGCGAATTAATTGTTTAACGTGGTAGAACCACTCTGCAGCTAGAAGGAAAGACCGCACTCTCAGAGAATACCAGTGTAGAAGAGTAGCTGTATACTGCTGTGTTTCGCATGTCGAGTGCAGAGAATCGGAGAGCTGTTTACTGTAACGACGCACTCTAACGTAGTTTTCCTACGTTAGGATGTGTCGCTCCTTGCAGGTTAAAAATATATCTATTAAATTCTCGTCAATGTCCATAAAAGTAGTTCACATGCGTGGAACGCACGTGTTATCAGCGCCGGCATCGGCTGGTCGTCACCGACGCTCCTCTGTGTCACTGCACAAGTTCACTGAACACAGCTTGGTACGCTATCATTTTTGAAAAACGTATGGAAAAACGTCAATATTGCAGCAATTGAGATATGCCTACCATCATTTTTAATATTTTCCATCTTGTTGCGAATTCGATTACCCTATGGAACAAGTATATGTATGGTCTACGAGTAAATGTTTTGGGATAAGTGCTTGTTCATATGCAGTTTATGCATGTAAAATGCCTTCGATTCGGGGGAAATATTTATAGTGTTAACGTTGAAAAAGTATAAAGAATTGATTCCTACTACATCTTATTATAATAGCTAGAACTATCGCGAGAGGCAGAGGGTTCTCTAGAAGCTAAACCTGACGCAAAAAGCGCAAGAAGCTGACACAGTATGAGTTGGCGACATGTCACTGTCAATAAAATTTGCAGCTGTTACCATTTTAAATTTAGCTACAATTTTTCTACCACAGCGGCAGCGATTTGACTCATTAACTTTTGCGCGTAATCTTAAGCTGATGTCTAGACAGAAAATTACTCCATCTAAGAGCGTTCCTACGTATGAAGGCAGTGAGGCAGTGCATTCAACCAATCTAGGAGATGAACTCGCGCTGCATGTTTCCGCAGTTTAAAAATATTTTTTTCTAGATCTGGATGCAAAGCAGCACACCCCACAGCCTCTGTGAAGCTTAGCTTACCAAAATTATTTTTCAGCGTAAAAAAGGTGAATATTTTTGCCAATCTTTTATTCTTTTCTTGAAATCATTCAGAACAGAACAGAACTGTGCAAGGTAGCTAACGAGCAGTGCACCTACTCTAAGAATTACTTAATGTTTTTCGGGACCAAAAATGCCTGAGGTTTTTAGGAATTTAAGGTGTAGGTACTACAAGACAGTCAGCAGACTTTCACGCACAAAATTGATAAAAAAGTCCGCTTTGTATCCTCGTAACGATTAGCTTTCTCGTAAACCTACAATAAAATCAAAATAAAATGTCTGGTATTTCTATTTCTATGGAAGAAAACCGGCCACTTTGTAGACACACTAATGTTCTTCAATATATGTTTTTCAAGTGTTGAAACATTGTATGCATTTCTATTGAAAAAAACTTTACTACTTAAACGTAGTCTTGTTTGTTTTGAAAGATCTCAATAGTGATCAGATAATATCAGCGATTGATGTTGCAGTTCTCATGATGGAGAGCTTCCGCTCGTTCAACAGAAGCCGTGAGTCACGTCACGTGAGGCGGCCGCCGGCCGGTCCGCCGCACTCCAGTAATCTGCAGGCTGCGGGTGACGTACTGATTCCCGCTTCCTTTGATTCAAGTCAGCTGTTGGCAGTTAGTTATTTTGGCTCATCTTTGTTTTAAGGAAACGTCATACGGCTGCGGTGCCTTTCATAACATAAACACTTTTCAATAATATCTGGAGTAGTTCATTCACTGCTCTGCACTTCATTATGAATCACTCGCATAATACGCTGACATACATTTATTTAGGATTTCTATCGACAAAGTATATGCATTGAAGAAAACTATTTATACGGATTGTATCACGTTTAATAAACTTGTTTTTAATTCCCGAGGTTTCGGGTGCTTTACAGCAGTCATGGTCACGGGGAGACTGAGATGTTTGATTTCCCAATGGCATAGTTAGCCCGGCTACCTTGTATTGGATGTTTTATTAATTTCAATAGCCTTACGTATTATCCTTGGTACGAATCGGTATTATTTGGCAAGGACTTGTGGTCTATCAAATCTGATGTAATGGTGGGGAAGATCTTGAACATTTTCACAGACTGCAGACTCTCTGGAGCGTCGGTGCTTCATATCAGCTATAATATGTTTTTCAGTTGGGTTTCTATAGATCTTTGTCCTATGCAAGAGAGACCACGTTCACAATCTAACTTGAACACTCCTGCATCTCGTAGAGGGATATTACACTTGATGGAATGTAAAAATTGACTAATCTTCTTCGGAAGCTTGTAGTTTGTTTTAATGGAAGATCGCTTCAAGATGTAGCCAACATTATTTGTGACTCCTCTAACACATTATGATAGCACAGCAGGCACACGCTCGACTGTGGCTGGCTTCACTCGGTCACTGTGACGTAGGCGCGAGACCCGAAGCTTGTTGTCTTGCAATACTTGCTTAAAGTGCTGAAGTTCTCTGAAACGAAGATTTCCCATGGTAGCTAACTGTGATGGATGATAGTGAGATTGACCATTTAAATGTAAATTATTAAGGGTCTTTTTCCTATACACAGTGTGACCAGAGTAGTAGAGAGTAGTATTATCAGGATAACTAAAATATCTAGGAGAGTCATACAATCATTTGCCTCTAACTCCATTGTGAATTGTATTTTAGAGTTTACGGAGTCAACGTCGTATAAAAATGCAGTTATTTTGTCGGATGATAAAATGTGAAACTATCGTCTACGTACCGCTTGTAGAATCTAGCATTTACAGGAGCAGTAAGAAGGGCTTTTTCCTCAAAGTCCTTCATGAATATGTCGGCGACTATGGGAGATACAGGTGAGCTCATGCGCA